GCTACTTAATGCTTCATCTGAGACACAAAAAGGTTTTCAGTAATTAACACCTGAAAATTGTTCATTTATTACCAAGTTAAACACAGCAACACTCAAATTTAGTGCAGTTTATGCTGAACACAGGCAATATGAGTAGACAAACAACAAAGCAAAGAAAAAAGGAAAGTGAGAAGCTAATTTTCAGTAGTACTAAAAAAAGGGGAAAGTTGCAGTAGCGGATATCCACCAGCAGAGGGTAGAGTCGAGCACAGCCAGAGGAATAGCAGCCAGAAGAACAACATCATCTTCAGCCTGGAGAGACAGGAAAAAGAGGGAGAGGAAGAGGAGGGGAGTGGATGGAAGGGGGCATACACAGAAGGAGAGAAGAGGAAAAAGGAGCAGGAGGAAGGAAAAGTAGTGACGGTAGCACAAAGGAGAAGATGAAGGTGGAGAGGCAAACAGGATAAAAGGAAAAGAGGAACGAGAGACAGGAGAACAGAAAAGCAGATGCAGTGAACCACACGTGTCATTCAACAAGTGCTGTAAGTTACTGGTGAGTTTGTTTTGGCAGACATGGAGCACCAGGTGGGTGGGGTTTACTCATTTGGTTTGACACGAGTCAATCACAGAAAACCATGGTGAATCCACTGCCTCAGCTTTCTGCCGTTTGTATACACTGAGCTGGTGAAACCCAGGTGACTGGCAACAACAAAGAGAACAAAACACACACACACCAAGAAACTCCTAAAGTCAAATCTGTAGCACAACATGCAGAGAGGAGCCAGACAGAAAGAGGACAGAGCAGGTTTATTTCTGGTGGCAGTGGGTAAAACGTGAACAGCAGCTGGAAGCTGTCAAACACTGTTCTCGGGTGGTAGCTCTCAATTATTTTTGCTTTATTACAGAGATTTCTTCTTGACCTTGACACATTTCTGTGATAAGATTTGTGCATGTCCCTCTTCACTGAGGGATACAGTTGAAAGTCAGCGTGTATAAAATATTTGCTCACAGATAATGTTACTTTATAACAATGACTCCAGGGCTGTATTTTTATATGACCTCCAGAGGCAGACTGTGAAGGTTCAGTGCAGTAATTAATCAAACACATCATGAACCAAAAACCTGAGATAGATGAAATTATAAAAGAGGAATTCCGTGCTAGAGGACGTACAGCGGGCACGGTTCTGAGCTCATTTAGCCAGTGATGAGACACTGGCCGGCCCTGTGACGGCACACCCTTCCAAGCACAATTTAATTTTGGGTGAAGTTATCAGAGGCCTGTGGGTTGTGCCTGAGCCAACAGCACAGATGTTACTGTGGTTTTGGTCCATATTTTCAATATGTTTGACAGGATCACTCGGTCACATTCTTAGAAGTGGTTAAAAAATAAAATTCTTAGATGCATCACAGCTTTTAGGCAAGTTGAGAACTGAGATGCAGTGAGGGAGACCTATTCACTTCCACCCTCAACCCACAATTCTTCCGTCACACACAGAACCTAGTAAAATGTTGAGCGGTTCCCAGTACGAGTCGGTTCTTCTTCTGCTTAAACAGTTTATTCTACAGTGAGCAGTACACTGAGATTTCAATTAGAAGGCACTACTGCTATGTACCATCACAGACAGCTGTGCTCTGAAAAAAGCCAAGCATTGCATTGTGGGAGGAGTAGTTCAACTGCACGTGGACACTACTTTCCATTACTTTGTGGCACTACTTTGGTGAGTGGGGGAGTAGAGAGCGCTGCAGCACCTGACATCATCAGGCAGCAGTTCAGTATAAAAAGAATAGTTGTTTTAATCAGTTTGGGATGTTTGTGGTGACAGGGTTTTTATTTATCCATTTATTATCAAATTAACACAATCACTCATTGTTCTGCACACCCCACACGTGCACACTGGAAGGTAACGTCAGACAGTCCCATTAGTTCGTGTGCATGTTTACAATTGCTGTGAGTTTTGGTTCAGGCACGATTGCTCTTTGGCCTGAGTGCTCTATCCGTGTGTGTGTGTGTGTGTGTGTGTGTGTGTTTCCATTTTAAAGGATATCCACCAGACAATACAGGAGTCAATGAAGGCCAACAATATGTCACACAATAATCTACTGCTGTTGTTGCTCCCTAGATCCTACAGAGACAGAGAGGTTAGACTCAACCACAAACAATACTGTGTGTGTGTGTGTGTGTGTGTGTGTGTGTGTGTGTCTTACTGCATTGACTCGTAGGATTCCCTCGATGATGGAGAAGATCAGGTAGAGCAGACCAACTCCGACTACTCTGTGGAGCAAGGCCCCAAGTCTGGGCCTGGTGGAGACAGTGACAGACAGAGGGAACTTGATGCTCAGATCTGATCTTTGTGTGCTGATGCTTAACATCTGTGTGTGTCAGTGACATGTATCTGGCTCTGGTGTGAACACCACTGTGCATTTCCACACATGCACAGATGTAACTGAAATTCGAGCCACATGCACACAAGAATAACAACCAGGTCGTGTGTGACGATCAAACAGCCCAGTTTCCTCCCAAACCGCTGGGTTACGATATGAAACGTCCTGGTCTCTCCACCGACCCCGTTGCTGTCGTCGCTCTCCTCCATGTTTATTGTTAACAGTCAGTGAGGGGCCGACACTGAATAATGACGACAGGCCGTATGTGCAGAGGAGGAGACGTTAAAACAACCACGTGGATTCTGATCCGACCATTCTGACGGTGCTGCACAGTCAGAGGTCGGATAGGAATTGGGTCTAGGAGCACATATGCACCCGAGAATGTTTGGTTTGGCCCGTTCACGCTTTTGCGCACAAATCAGGTCTGAGACACTGGGAGGGGAAAACTTTAGCTGTGATGTGAACACAACCCTGAGGAAAAGGGCAGAAAAATGTACAGGCTCTAAAATGTGATACAGAAGCTCCTGTGACATGTGAAACATAGCTATTTGTCATTATTTAAGTAAAAATTATGATCTGTTATGGCCCTGAAACACCTTGTCATCTCCCCTCATTAAAATACAAGACAACCAGAGGACATTAAGCTCTCAGTCCCAGGGAGCTGGGAGAACAGGAGACTTACTTGACGATGCCATATCCCAAACTGGCAATGATCACCAACACCCTGGCTAGAGTCCTCTTCACCGCAGAGAGCACCTCAGCAAACACCACAGCCCCATAGACTGCAGGAGGACACATTACAACTCAGTGATCAGTCAGCATCAAGCCGAACATCACCCGTGTGCGTCTTCACTTACCTGACACACCGTCGTATCTGATGCTCTGGAACTCAGCGTAGTAAACAGCTTTCTCCAACATGCCCAGGAAGATGACTCCTCCGATCCAGAACTGGATCCTGAGCAGATCCCTCCAGTAACAGGCCGAAAGGACCAACCACAACACTGCCAGCAGCACATACACGATACACATCACCATGTAGAACTGGAGACACAAACAAAGTATTGATGTTGGGATAGCCTGTAACCAATGATCATTTGTTATTAAAGATAACAGATTAAAAACTAAACAAGAGACATGCTCGTGATGTTTGGAGTCAAAATGATTTGAATGGTGACCTAGTCTGACATGGACCTACTGACCTGTGATTAGCAGTGCCCATTTATTCTTCTTTATTAACTCTGTGTGTGACAGCTCTATATTTGTCTGCCTCTCCTGTTTGAGGAACATCTGCTAAAACCTACACTGATCAGCAGGGATGTCAGAGGCAGACCAACTCGTTTGGGTGTTTTAACAGGACAATAATAAAACAAATACATTATACCAGATTTACACTTTAAATTGCCAAATGTACAATGTGTGAAATCTGTTCATGAAGTGCTGAGCTTTCCCTGCTTGTGTGTGTTCTTACCACCATCAGAGGCCACTCAGAGGCCGATATGTAGTCATGAGGACCCTCCATTCTGATCTGCACTGCAAACACAGACAGACACTGTTAGATCGACTGGTCACAGGTCTGCAACGCTCCAGGCCCGAAACGTGACCAACAGTGACTCTCACCACTGTATTAGAAATGTTCTGTGGACATGTAGGTGACACGCAGAACTGGGAGCAGGGCTGATCCTGACACCTAGAAATCCACTTTGTCTCTTCACACTAGATGTGTCACCTCTAAAGAAAACGCCTCTTTGTGCTACATTAAAACACCTGAATCACATAATGTGTGAGCAGTGCATCATGAATGAACCGCAAAGTGCACAAACACCCACACTGTTATGCAAATATTTAACCGACTGCAAGAGCCAGCTCTGTTTTGTAGTAAAAGTTAGATAAACATCATGTATAAATCTCACAAGTCACATAAAACTGTTTTGCTTGGGTGCAAACACACGTTAACAACTGACAACGTAGAGGACAGGTTCACCATTCAGCTGTCCATATGAACACCTGAACAGGTTTGGCATCTGTATCCTGGCGAGTGTCTTCCAAAATTATAGTTCTTTGCAACTCTAAGTCCACTTCTTTTTGTTACTGTGCCTCCAGTAAACAGTGTAGGAGGAAACAGAAACACCGAGTTTTATAGTAAAAATACTGCACCTCACTTGGTTTATCTAACTCAGACCAGCTCAGACCAACTTGTGAAAACAGTGGCACACGGAGAGTGTGGATTTTGTCCCTTCTCTTACACTGAAAGCACATTAGAAAGGAGGACTTATGACAGTAAGCAAAAGCTCTGCAAAGCTGATAATGTCAGCAGAGGAAATCGCTAATGCTAATGTTTAAACAGGCAGTAGTTCACTGTGTGTGTGTGTGTGTGTGTGTGTGTGTGTGTGTGTACTGACGCTGCAGACTCCAGGGTGTGGAGGGGTTGGCGGGCTCCAGGGTTCGACTCTGTTCTTTGATGTACAAGATGAACATGTAGGGGCCGTCCTCCCAGCTCTCAGCCACAGCATGGAGTTGGGGGCGAGAAGGCTTCTGAGCAACAAGACAGAAGAAGAGCTTGTACGCCAGTGAAACATCTGTACAGATGCACACATCTGAGGACACCAGACTTGTGTGCACAAAATGTTACAACCCATTTTGACTGCATATTTAGTAACAATTCACAGTGGAGAGTGGGAGACAGAGGTGAGGGGGATGAGGGCACACAGAGCCACCCAGACCATGGATGTTTGGCTCGTGGTTTCATTTTCAAGTCAGAACTGTTACACCTTTAATATTTAGATTTTAAAACTTTGCTGAGGAAGTGGAATTGCTGACTTGTATTAAACATCCAATAGCTTCTCCAGAGAAGAGTAAAACAGCAAAGGCACAATATGCAGCGGATCAATGGATGAAGAGAAAAGGTCATGGAACAGGACCCTGGCAGCTGGTGGCCTGGCTGTGCAGCTTGGATAACAGACCTACACAGCCTAGGATTCAAACCAGCAACCTCCCGTTCACATGCTCCTCTTCCACCCTGCTGCAATGAACTGGTTTAGCTACAAACCAACTGAACAAATATGTTTGTATTTATTTTATTTAGTAGTATTATTTTCTTATTGGTTATTTCTATTTTTGTCTGTTTTAAGTGATGCCATTTTATTTTGAAGAAATGCTATGACTGAACCCGAGTGGTGTTTTGTTATTGGACTTCTGTGCTAGCCACAGTTTGTCCATAACGAACACCATGTTCAAGCATAAGAGTGTCCATCAGTGCACATGGCACCAGGACACCCTAGGCCGGAGGTCGATGATCGACTTTGTGGTTGTTTCATCTGACCTCCGGCCGTATGTCTTGGACACTCGGGTGAAGAGAGGGGCGGAGCTGTCAACTGATCACCACCTGGTGGTGAGCTGGATCCGATGGCGGGGGAGGAAGCTGGACAGACTCGGCAGACCCAAACGTATTGTGAGGGTCTGTTGGGAACGTTTAGCAGAATCCCCTGTCAGAGAGATCTTCAACTCC